ACAGTTTATTTATTCACTCACTTCCTGAAGGGCATGTTTCCAAGTTTTGGCAGATAAGAATAAAGCTGCTATAAACATCCATGTGCAGATTTCTGTGTGGACAGAGTTTTCAGATCCTTTGAGTAAATAACAGGGAGTGTGACTCCTGGGCCATATGGTAAGAATATGTATAGTTTTATAAGAACCTGCGCAACTGTGCTCCAAAGTGGCTGTACCTTGTGCGTTCCCACCAGCAATGAATGAGAGTTCCCGTTGCCGCACATCCTCACCAGCACTGGGTGTCCTCGGCGTTCCAGATTTTGGCCATTCTAATAGGCACGCAGCGGTATCTCATTTTTGTTTTAATTTTCAGTTCCTTGATGACATATGACGTGGGGCATCGTTTCACGTGCTCATCTGCCATCTGTGTGTCTTCTTCGGTGCGGTGTCTGTGGCAGTTTTAGCCCATTTTTAAATGCAGTTGTTGGTTTTCCTGTTGTTGAGTTTTAAGGGCTCTTTGCATATTGCATAACACTCCTGATTAGAAGCTCTTTCGCGAACATACTTTCCTAGTCTCGTGCCTGTCTTCTCAGTCTCTTGACATTGTCTTCCACGGAGCTGAGGTTTTTAATTAGTAAGTGAAGTCAGACTTACCAGTTATTTGTTTCCTGGGTTGTGCCTTTGGTGTTGTACCTAAAAAGTCATCATTGTACCAAGATCACCTAGGCTTCGTCCTGTGTTATCTGCTAGGAGTTTAACAGCTTTGCATTTCACATTTAAGTCTGTGATCCATTTTGGGCTCATTCTGTGAAAAGTGGAATGTCTGTCTCTAGGTTCACTTTTCTGCATGTGGATGTCCAGTTGTCCCAGCACCAGTGCTGGGAAGAACATCTTTGCTCCGTCGTATTGCCTCTACGCCTTTGTCAAAGCGCAGCTAACCATGCTTACGTGTCTGTGTCTGGGCTCGCTGCTCTGCTCCGTTCCTCTGTCTGTTTTCACCAGCACCGCACTGCCTTGATTACTGTGGCTTCACAGTAAGTCTTGACACAGGGCAGCGTCAGTCCTCCAGTTGCATTCTTCTCCTTCAGTATTGTGCTGACTGTTCCAGCCTTTCGCCTTCTATATAAACTTTAGAACCAATTTGTTGATATTCACAAACTAACTTGCTAGGGTTTTGATTGGGATGGCACTGAGTCCACAGATCCAGCTGGGAAGGGCTGATATCTTGACAATACTGAGTCTTACTACCCATGAACACGAACTATCTCTCCATTTATTTAGTTCTTCTTTGACTTCGTTCATGAGAGCTCTGCACTTTTCCTCATATAGATCTAGCCCGGTTTTTGCTAGAGTTGTACCTAAGTATTTCATTTTGAGGGTGCTAATGTAAATGCTATGATGTTGTTAATTTCAAATTCCACTTGTTCATTGGCCGTATACAGTAAGGCAACTGACTTTTGTATATCAACTTTGTGTCTGGCAATCTTGCTATAATTACTGATTAGTTCCAAGCATTTTTTTGTTCATTCTTTCAGACTCTCTAAATAGACAGTTATGTCATCTGCAAACAAAGACAGTTTTATGTCTTCCTTGTCAATCTGTGTACCTTTTATTTCCTTTTTTTGTCTAATTGCATAAATGACGACTTCCAATTTGGTGCTGCAATGCAGCTGCGGGCGAGGACGTCCTTGTCTCATACCTAATCTTAGAGGGAAAGCTTTGTGTTTCTCACCATTAAGTAGTAGCTTAACTGCAGATGTTTGTAGATCGTCTTTATCAAGTTTGGGAAATTCCCTTCTGTTTCTGCTTTACTGAGAGTTTTTTGTTTTGTTTTGTTTTGTTTACCATGAACGGGTGTTTGATTTTGTCAGACGTTTTTTCTGTATCTACTGACATGATCATGTGATTTTTCTTTTTTAGTCTATTGATCTAATGAATTGCATTAATTGATTTTCAAATGTTGAACCAGCCTTACACACTTAGGATAGGTCCTGGCTGGTTACAGTGCACAATTTTTTCATACTTTTTTGGATTTGATTTGCTAATATGTTATTGAGAATTTTTGCATCTATAGCATGAGAAATACTGGTCTGGAGCTGTCTTTTCTTGTGATGTGCTTTTTATCATTTTATTAACTAACATTAATGTTGAAGTTGGTGGACTACCGTTCACTGGTCACGGGACAAACTCCATCTCTGCGCATTCATGTGCGTTGTTGAGTAATGTCAAGTTTTATCCTCCATCGGTGGTACTGCAGTATCGCTGGGTCCATGGGCTTTGGAGACAGGCTGGGTTTGGACACAGGGTCCTAGCTGTGCTAACTAGTTACCCTGGGCAAGTGAATTATCAATTGTCCTGGATCTCCATTTCCTCATCTGCAAAATGGGTTTCCTAAAAAATAGCAGGTAAACCGTTTCACAGGGTTTGTGTGAAGGCTAATTGGGATGATCCATGCACAGTGCTTGGAATAGCTCAGTAAGTAAGTCTGCAGTGTTTTGACCCTGGTCATTTGCCTCGCCCGTATCTTACTGCTGCCACATGAGTTAGGGACCATTTTTCTCCTTGTTATAATATTTTATGTAGGATCCTTTTTATTTTCAGTCCATTCTCTAAAGCCTTCCCCATAGCACTGCAAATATCACAGACTGACGCCTGTTAAATAAGTCTTAATTGAATTCAGCTATGCTTTTTTATGTATAAAGTGATGTTAACATCTCCTTAAAAGCTGTAAAATGGAAAATCCTCATTGCAGGATCACACGGTCACAAGCACTGACATGTGCACGGCGGTTTCTGCTTTATGAACTAGTGCACACACTCAGACTTCTGAATGGGAAATCTCTGTATAGTGTGTATGTTTTTCACATCATGTGTTTTTATTCTTCTCTGAAAACTACACTCTGAATTGGAAGAAGCATTAGCACCCCACCCAGAGAAACCTCCGCCTCAAACCCGAAACCCCAGGGCGAGGGGTGGGAGGCCACAGGAAGGACGTCGGCCGTGGGGGGGCGGTGTCCAGTCTGGGCTTGCGTATTTCCAAGTTACCAAAGGGTGGCCGGGACACACCTTTTGTCATTAAAAGCACTCCCTCTCATGTTGAGCTGGAATCTACCTCTTTGTAAGCACTTCCCGTGGGTCCTGGTCTGGCCTCTGAAGCTACTTAGGATAAATATGAAATAAATATGAAACCTGCACGACAGCCCCAAGTGTCTGAGACCATTTGCAGTCCCCTCAGATGTACCTTCCCAAGCTCAGGTAAACCTGTTTGAATCTTGTGTGGAAGTTTCTAGAGCTTTACCATCTAGCCTAGCTGTTTTTTTTTTAAGGACAATCTTTTCATCCTTGTCTTGAAACTTCCACGAAATCTTATAAGTTGTCTGTGAAAACCTTTCCCACTCTTGCCGGCGTGAGTACTCCTGCGTACGTGCAAGTGGACAAAGAGACTGCTTTCGGGTCTTCTTTGAATTCAGAGGGACAGCCAGAAACCATCAACATCAAAAACACCTTTACTTCCATTTCTGCAGCACAACAGAGCCTTCCTTCCCGGTGGACGTAATTCGCTTTTTCAAAAGCTCCGCGTTTCCAGCATCGTTTGAGAAAACCACCTTTCCTAGTTTACTACGTGAGCTGTATCTCGGTTGGAAAGGGAACTTCTGAGTCGACAGTCATGAGACCATCTTGCCTTCTCTCCAGAGAAGGAATGTCTGCTGCGAATTAGACTCTCAGCCATCTCCAACCACCTGACAGAGCAGCCCCCCAGATGCTGCCTTGTCTAGCGGGTGGAGAACGCTGAGCTCCTGACACCCAGGTGCCAAGGCCGGGCCTCCCCAGCTCATCTAGGAGGCCCGGGCCCTGCAGGGAGAAGAGACAAACTGCCCCTCCGCACGGCGCTGGTCACCCCACACGCCCGGACAGTTCAGGACATACCAAGTTGTTCAGGAAAAGAATTTGAGAAAACGCATACACGACTGAGTAAGACCCATTTTAAGCAGCAAACACTCTTCGTTTTCATCTTTAAACGAACCTGTGCCAGACCCTCTCACTAAGGTCCCTCTCGTAACAACCTCATAAAGAGGCACGAGTGTCACCACCTCCTAGATGGCCTCAGGGGTCTGAGGACCTGCTCACCTGAAAGGAGCAAGACGAGGAGTCAGACCGATTGCCTTACTCCGAGACTGGGCTCGTGCCCCTACCCCGCCGCCGGGTCTGAGTGTGCAAATCCAGCATATGAGCCAAGGCAAAACAAATTATCTTCATTTCGAAACCTAACCGGTGAAGTGCAGGTATTAAAATACATTTCATGTTATTTTACATTCTATCCTAGGTCCTTTGTATTTGCATTTCCGAGTCATGCCATGCCAGCTTGCTGAAGATCTTTCCTGGGCTGTGGAACAGCAGTTAAAATGCTGCTGGGGAGGGAAGGGCTCCGCCCAGAGCAGCACAGGGAAGGAAGGCAGAAGGAAGCATGAATCGGAAGGCGCCCGATCCAGCCGCGGGTCCTGCAGTAGCGAAGCCGGGAGCTGCAAGCCAAAAGTCACCAGGCTGACGGGACGAGCCCTGTCCTCTCTAGAGAAGCAAGCCCTTTAAGACTGTCCTAAAACCTGCTTTCTATAGGAAACCTCCTTAGTTCGTTTTCACCCTGATTTTACACAACAAAGAGCAGGAATAATTGGCTTTCTTTCTCTCCAAACGTGTTTCTGTCTGGAGATTTCAGTCCTGTCCTCTGAATCAGGTTTACCGTATGCTTTTCCTTCCAGACACACTATCCTCTCTTTGGAGGCAGCGATCATGACTGTCTTCTTCACACCGTCCAAGGGAGGCTATTTGGATGATGCAGGACACTATTTTGCATACAGGAAGGATTTTTAAATGTTTATTACACTAACCACTTCACCAAAATGAATGTTTTGATTCTAAGTTGTTAAAAGGTTGGGCTATAGTAGACATGCAAAAAATATTCCTGCATAGAAATTAAAATGTAGTGGCAGAAAACACATTTTTCATCAGTTTGAGAAATCTCACCTTTTCCCTCTGATCATCGTTGACCAACAGCCTGGTCCCTCTTCTCCCAGGAGGAGACACTGGAAAAAGAACATTGAGTTACCAGGGCCCCATTTGCTCATGCAGCAGTGAAAGGCACCACTTGACATTACACATTTTCACTATACTACAAATGGAAAAGGATATGATTTCACATTGAAATATATAGCTTAATATTTAAGGCCAAAGTTAACACTGAACAATTAATTCTTCCTTTTGGCATAAAACTGGAAATATCCAGTCCTTTTGACTATGCAAGATTTCACTCTAGTATTTCAGTATTTAATATTATTATTTATAAATACATGAGCTGGTAGATTTTGTTCTTTATCAGTGTATAAAAGTGAAAAGATACAGCAATATGTCTTAATTCTTAAAATTCTGAGAAAAATTAAACTTGTTTTGGTAGAGACAAAAAACACATTTTTATATACACCATTTAAGGATTCCAAAATTATAGTAAACAACATTTGTAGACACCTGTTTAGGTCAAAGTCCATACTTTATAGAAAATAGTGTTATTTTGCTTCTGTGAGTATCTGTGACAGGATGTCCCTGGGCTCCGACTCCTCCAGGGTGGACATCTGGGTCTCGTCTCATGTGACATCTTTGATCACCCATGATGACTGAGATTCCAGCAGGAGTTAGGACACCTTCATCTGACTGGTCTACTACACAACACGAAACAACTTTCGTCTTTTGCCTTCACACAGACATGGTCTCAGCTGTGAGGAAGGTGTTTTTGTTCGAACTTCTATCTCCAATTGAAAACCTTTGCTCAGATATCCCTGCTTTCCACTCAAAAAGATCTACGCTGAGTTACCAGGCTCCAGTCCTGCTTACAGACAGAAATGGCCAATTCAGGCAATCACGCATAAGCCTGCATTCATCCATGACCAGCTCCAGGCTGGGCTCCGAATTCCTTCCTTCCCTGATGGACCGCCGGCCCCTTTCCATGGTCCCCCATTCAGAGGCGCTCCCCCACAGGCTGGGACCTTCAACACCTCCCTTCAGGAGGGCTGCATGCACGTGTGAAAACCATGGATTCTTTTGCTCGACACATCACTCCAAATTTTGCACTTGAATTTTTCCATTCCAAAAAAAAAGTCACTGTACTAACAATGTTTAAATCTTCCCTGGAAATTTCATGTTAAATGGATTAGGTGCACATATTAGTTAGGAAATGTGCAAATTTGAGCATCATTTTTTCAGAGGTTTTTATGGGAACAGCACACAACAACATGCGGGGCAATGTGACTGGTGATAGTGCCTGTAGAGCCCAGAGCATAGGTCCAAGGAGACAGCCTGGCACAGCCGTGCAGGGTAGTGATGTGCTGCACAGTTAAAAAGAGGTGACACTCCCCTACAAACTGTTTCTCAGCATCCTGCCTGTGGGGACACGCCCAGTGACGGTCAGCCTGTCATGCTGGCCATGCACCAGCATGGCCTAGACCAGTCCCAGCACGGTGAACACTTAACATTTATGCAAGAGTCCCAGAGGATTTCACTGTATAATACTACAGACCTCAGAGGAGGGGGCGTTCATCCACTCAGCTCTCGAAGGTTCTCACGGAGGTCACTCAGGTCAGTCAGTTTACCTGGACACACCACAGCCACCCAGAGACGCTGGTGTAAGTTTCACTCACTTCCCAAATATTCCCATTTCCTACTCGCTGAAAAGTTACACCCCCATAAGTAAAAGTGATGGTGTGGAGATGAAACGCACTGTGTGATGCTAGCAGTGTCACAGGACTCAGTAAAGAAAGGGTAACTGACATCACTCCTGGCAGCCAGACTTTAAAAATCTCATGTTCTCCACATTATTCCATATAAAACAGGTAAACAACAAGGACCTACTGTAGAGCACGGGGAACTATATTCAATACCCTGTAATAACCTATAATGGAAAAGAATCTGCAAAGATACATATGTATGTACAGGTATAACTGAATCGCTTTGCTGTACACCTCAAACTAACGTTGTAAATCAACCATACATCAATAAAAAAATTTTAAATGCCAATACGACAAAAAGACATACATATACAAATTACATATACTACCCACTGCCAAGTGTGTATGGAAATAAACATGGAAATGCACCGAGACATACACACATTAGAGAAGGAAATCTCATGTTCTCGAATCTCAAACATGTTGTGGGACACTGGTTTTTCGCCCCTTAGGCTGTTTGTGTCTGTATTTATGCACAGTTCTGAGCAAGAAGTATATGATCTGCTTTTATTGAAATGGATTTCTTTTCTGTGGTGAGAGAAGCAGCCCATGTACTGTACTGGGGGAAAATGTGCAGTTTTTCTCCCCCTGAACTGCAGCTGGGTTACCGCTATCGCTGAGGTTAGCGCACTCGGGAAAATACCAAGTATACAAGCACCCATTTCACAGTGCTTATTTTATTTAACAAACTAGATTAAAAATCAGTATAGTTTATACATGTATGTATGTGTATAACTGAATCATTTTGCTGTACACCTGAAACACATTGTAAATCAACTACACTTGAATTAAAGTTTTTTAAAATATGCAGAAAATTTAACAAAATCAGTATACTTTTAAAAATATAGTTTAAAAATATTTTAAAAACAGCTCTCCTGTGATAGTAACCTACTTGTAAAGCAGATTACACCACTGCCTCCCAGAACTAATTGCTAAAAAGTGAAAGCATTTACTAAAATTGAGAAGAAGAAAAAAAGGATAAATACAAACTTGGAGATTTTATATTCTGGAGCTTTTGTTTGATTTCTGTTCCACAAGCGTCCTTCCAGATCAGCTTCTGAAAATCCTCACTGTCACTTATGTTCTTCAAGATTCCACATCTGCTCGACTCACCTTGCAACCCTAGAAGCTTACTTTCAAAAATAACAGTATATGTGTACATACACACATAGAGAGACATTTTTAATGGTAAACTGTAAGTCAGCAGATAATTAGACATTTAAAATCCCATTTCTAAGCATCAGTTGATAACATCTGGATAACTCGCAGCTATCCAGTCAGGAAAGTGTGGTTTTCAACAGTAACTGACACCAAAAAAAAAAAAAAACCTAAACCAAAACAAAACCACCTTGAAAGTCTCCGTCCCTACATAATAGGTGTTATTTGTATTTTAAAATTAAAAGAAACAATTTGAAGGGAAGTAAACTGTTTTCCTTTCTCTCTCTCTTTTTTTTTAATCCTAGGTAGTGGTAACTGAGAGTTAACAGATTAACAGAAGGGAAATTCTTTGGAGCGGGTGCTGGAGGGGAGGAGGGCTTTAGGAAAAGAAAGGAGAAAGGGGAGGACAGATCTGAGGACAAAGAGAGGAAGTGGATAAAGGTAACTTTCCCTTAAATTCAATTTCTAGTTTTATCTCCTTTGGCATGGAGACGCTAGAGTTACACACACTGTAAACCAGCCGTCACGTCCGAATACGCTGCCTGTGATAATAAATGGTGGTTTTGCCAGGTTGGTAGAAAGCAGGCACTAGGGTTCTCGCCTCTTTTAAATATTTCGCCTCTTAGAAACTGGGGCACATGTCAAACTGGTAAGACCTGTTTTAGGAGGTATAACTAGGTACACAGAATAGCTTCTTTAAAACAGTGCAGCCCCCTCGCCCACGCCCTGGGAGAACTCTCTAAGTTACCTGGGGATTTATAACTTGAGGGTGGAATTTTCCACGTTCAGTTCAAGGAGAAAACGATCGGGAAGCCCAGGGCTCTAGGAAGACAGGGGTGTACTCTGGGTGCTGCCAGTGTAGCCACACCAGCACTGGGACCACCGTTCAGCCTCACTTCTGGAGCAATTCCCATTTACGTGAGGCCGTTTTGTGTGCAGACCGTGGACTCCCTCGGATACTCTGGGCGGTGGCCGCTCCAGGTAGGGCCCTGCCTCCCTCCCTCAGCGGGAAGAGCCTTCCTGCGCCAGGCTGTTCTCAGGACTCGCCCCAGGACAGAATGACATTAAAATGAAGCGGAGGTCTGGAACGAGAGCCATCCCTAGCGCATCCTGTGACTCAGAAGCCAGCCCCCCAGGAGTGCAAAGGATGTGGGAGCCATGGTGTTTGGGTCTCCCCTTCTGCCCGGCTCCCAGCATTTCTTTCACCTGTCCGCGAGGGTGTGAAGGGGGCCAGCACTGCTCCCACCTGACCCTGGGCAGAGGGGCTCCCAGAGCAAAGGCTTGCCCGGGGAGGACTAAGGGGGACCAGGACCCCAAATTCCTGAGTCGTTCTGACGGTGAAGCGCATTGGAGGCCGGAATATTTCGGCGGTAGCGGGAATGCCTATCCGGGCGTTCTCAGCCGCGCACCCAGCCGAGCTCTGTGTCCTACCAGGGGGGCGCCGGAGCGCGGGGTGCCCACGGGGCGCCCGGCTGTGCGCGCGGAGTCTGTGCGCGGGCGGCGCCCGTCCAGCTCCAGCAACGCGCGGCAAAGAAGGAAAGAGAAGTCGCGATCAAGCTGCGGTTCAGTAGCTGGGAAACAAAGGCGAAAACAAATGACAAGTAAACATCCAGCCACAGGAAGCCATTAAGGAGAGTGGGCGCTAATGAGCGCGCAGCGGGGACCCGCCGCGCGCCCCGCCCGCCGGGGAAGCGGCCGCGGGCCCCCCATCCGCCCGGAGCCCCGCTGGCAGCCGTAAACCCGCAGTCGTCCTCGGTCCCCTTCAAGTCGTGCCATTACAAGCCGCAATTACTGTCATCCCCAGTAAGAGGACCCCAGGGGGACAGAGAAAAGAAAATTGGGATTCTGTGATCTCACACGCTCTCGCATCTTCCCAGACCACGAGAGGAAACCTCACCGAGGGGGCGGGGGGCTCCACCTACGCCCAGGTAAAGGGCTGCACCAGCGAGTGAGAACGCGGAGATGTGAGTCCCAACGCACTTCACAGTCTCTAAGAGTTTCTTGTAAAAACCAACCCTTTTGAGTAACCAAATGTTCCTCTGTGCTTCCTTAAATTATAAACCACTCTTTCTTTAAAAATTTTTTACAAGGAGCAGTGGTTTTTCAAGCAAGGCTTAATGACTTCACTTCAACTCTTCTGTCTAAACTTC